CCAATTTCAAAAAAAAAAAAAAAAATCTGGATTTTCTTGTTTTACTGAAAAAGTACAGATATTTGAGTGTCTCTGACAATAAATATCTTGATAATTTTCTTCTGAATTTCTCGTTGGATCTACCATTGTAACAAGTTTCTTTGTCAAAAAAAAGAAAAAGAAAAAGAAGTTGTACAAATTAAGGTATGGCTTTGCAATTTAATTTGATTTTTTCTATAAAACAATCAATTCGATCTAAAAATTTAAGTTAATTCAATTTAAAACTTTAAGCGGTTAGGTAATGTTTGAAATTATAATTTATATTATTTTTTAATATATTTTTTCAAGTGAAAGCTTTTTAAGTTTAAAATTTACACAGATTCACGTTACTTTATGATTAATTTTTATTAAATAAATAAAAATGATAAAATTTAAACTCATGATCGCTACAATGATAAAATTCAAACTTGTGACCGCTAACTTGACCATCAAAACTTTAATACTGTGTCAAAAAATAAATTTAATTTAAAAATTGAAGTTAATAAAATTTCAAAATATATATTGTTCTCTAATATTTTCCATTAAAAAACTTAACAAAATCATTCAAAATACAATGGTAAATAATCAGTAAATTAAAAAAAAACCCCAACAGATACACCACATCCTTTCTGTCTCTGTGTCTAGTTGATTTTTTCAACATGATCTCTAATCGTTTTAGTTATGATCAGATGAATGACTTCCACCATTTTGTAGTGGTTTAACAGTATCTTGTTTCTTCGTGAGCTAGAAATGAAGAAATTTAAAGCAAAATTTACAAGACAAAGTTAGGTGGGATCTATGGGTACAGTAATTGATTTTCTGCCTAAACTTTATAGGACTCCCTCGCTTCGTTGCCCGCTCTCGTTCCCCTACAGGTATAGATTCAAAGTGTCTAATAGCGAGATGCTTTTTTATTTTATTTTTGAATCTCTCTCAACAGCATTCTAAATAATTTATGTTAATCAGCCAAACATATTACACGAGATATAAACATAAGCATAAATCTTGTTGAATTTAATAATTTGTTTTAGAATCCAAGTGCATAAAAAAAAAATAAGAAAACAAATAAAAAAAATATTACAAATGACTTTACACAAACAAGGACTACTAATACAAAAAACTATAATCTCATTTGAACATAGATAAAAATATTCTAAATTAATTTATTTTAATGGTTTTTTTCATAAATCTAAAGACAACAAAGACAGGAATCACAAACATATCTTTAATTGATCTACTTTATTTAATTGAAATTCATATTAAGAGGAAAAATATAAAGTTTAAAAATAGGCTAGGCTGCTGAGCTTGGGGGACCAATGCATCAGACTCATTGGAAAAGCAGGCACGGGGGGATACTAGCTAAGCAAGAATGCTTGACCATTTTTTGTTTTTTTATCATGGACTTAAAGGTGCCTTCAATTATGAAAAATAATAAAAACAAAAAATATGTCATTTGTATTTTCTAGGATCTAACCATCATGAAAGTGCTTGTAAAATTGAGAAGTGAGTTTTTCAACTGAAAAAAAATATTTTTTAAATTATTTTAACTTAAAAACATTTTAAAAAATATCTTTAGAATATTATAAAACAAAATTTTCAACCTAAAACATCAACGAAACTCATCTTATTAAGAGGAAATCCATACACCAAGAACAAGTTGTTTTGTTGTTGGAATGTGTACTATCAATATTTTTCCCTCTCTTATCCTGTTTTGTGATGATATCCTCTCAAGTTCTCTGTCAAACCAAGAACTTAAAAAGTGAAGATTTAGACCAAAATATATAATTATAGGGTCAAAATATTATTTGAAAAAAAAATGAAGGCATAATTCTTCAAAAAGGCTCTAATTGCACATTGGTGGAGAGGAAAAGGTATGCATGTCTTTATTTTAAATTCAATTCCAATCCCTTTACTATTGATTTTTTGAAATAAAAAAATTCAGTGAAAAATATTTATGTAATTAATTATTATACTTATGTAAACATCACTAGAAAGTAATTTTATACTCGTTGAAATGATCATGGAGAGGTCCTAAAGTTGAATGTTCATTGCATAGAATTCTAATGATTTGGATTGATAATTAAAGAAGTTTGTTCTTTTTCTTAGTTTTTTAAATTCAAGATTTGAGATCAATATAGATTACTCTAATGAATGTATCATATCAATATAAATTTTTGCAGTCTAGGGCGACAAAAGAATTTCTTCTAGTTATTAGATGTTAAGGTTTGCAGTGTTCGTGGGATAATCTAGGAGATAAAATTATATTGTAGCTGTGATCATGTCCTCAATCATAAGAATAGCGATCTTGGCCTATATGATGGTGTTCCTATCATAAGAACAGCGATCTTGGCCTATATGATGGTGTTCCTCTTTCTAGGGCTAGGCTAGATATGGTTTCTGTTTTTCTAGTTATTTCTCAATCCTATAAATTCTGGTGATTTCTATAAAAACCATT